GGCCAATTCTCCACCCCGGCAGGGGACTTGATCTGCTTGGGACAAAAGTTTTACAAGGATGCTCCTCAGGAGACTCAGTGTCACACGGAGCCCCAACCTCACCTGCTAGCTAACTTCCCTAAGATTATAATAACCTAAAATAATCTCAATCTAAGTAACTGCTGTCTACAAATTGATGATTTAAAAAAAAAAGGTAATTAAAGAGATTACCAACAAAACAGCTTGCCCATGTCCCTGTGCAGACCTGAAAGAGATGAAGTCCCAATGACCTATTCGGGGGCTAGTTCTCAACCCTAGGTGGGTTCAATACCTCAATAGGGACAATGTTCCTTGTTTTAGGAATGTGTCTAATATTACCCTGCCTAATCCCCCTGGTATGGTGGTCTTTATCAAGATGATGCTCTTTGACCATAAGTGGGTTCAAGCATCATATGGGGGAATGGGGCAGGAAGGCAGGGAGGGGGAAGGGAGATAATGAGTGACAGTGGAGCAAAGAAAAACTGGAGTTGGGGAATGTTACCTGGAGACTAGAGAAGGGTCACCTCGCCCCAGAGTTAGAGCAGCCAATGAAATAACATATGATTATGTATGGGACAAGCTGTAGCCCCGCCCCCCATTTCTGTAACCTGCTCTAAATGTACATAAGGAAAGCCCCCTTTGTTTTGGGGTCTCAGCCTTTGGACATGAGTCCTCTGAGTCTCTGCCAGCTTGCTTAATAAAGTTGCTTCCCGAAAGCTTTGGTGCCCTCTCAGTCTCTGTCTGAGCCCTCCTGCAGCAATAGCACCAAAAAAAAGGCACTACTCCAGAGGTTTTGCTACACGTGAAACAGTGGTATAGTTGTTTTACCTGCTGATGCCTTATGAGGTACCATTGTTATTACTGTTATTTCACATACAAGAAAATAGGGCACAGAAGGGTTAATTAATATGCCTAAAGAAATGGTAATATGCCAGATGTCTTATGGTGACATCCACCTATAGTCCCAGCTACTTGGAGGCTGAAGGGCTAAGGCAGGATTCCTTGAACCCAGGCTGGCCTGGAGTGAGACTCCATCTCAGAAAGAAAGGGAAAAAAAAGGAGAGAGGAGAGGAGAACAGAAAGAAGTTTAATACCATCAGGGTCCCCCTCTTATTTACTACTAACCTCTATCACCTCTCCATAGGACTGTCCTGGTTTGTGTTTTGTACATCTAGGAAATGTGACTAAAGCAAGTCTCCCAGCATGCACCTTTTCTTCCTTCTTGTGTGTCATAGCTTATTTACACCCATCCCAAGGCTCCAGCTTCAGTCCTAACTCTTTGGAAAGCAGTGTCCCTGATTCTCAGGGTTCTCTTGCTCTCTGGTCTCTGAAGCAGTCTCACCCTATGAGGCCAGTTTTGTGTGGAGGCCCAGGAGTGAGGTGGAGGAAGTCTCTAAGGACTGGGGGTAGAGGGTGGAGGCAGGCTGGGAAGGGGGAAGGCTGGTGGACCTCAGTTTTGTTTAGACTGATCTTAGGACCATGGGAGGGGCTTGTGCTGTGTCTTGATAAGACTGGCATTTTGAAAGGTCTTTGCACAAGGAAAAAGTGATTAGGATTAGAGCTGGGTGTGGTGGCACACACCTGTAACCCTAGCACTCAGGAGGCCAAAGCAGGAGGATCCTAGGTTTGAGGCTAGCCTAGGCTTCATAACAAGACCTTGTCTCAAAAAAACAATAAAAAGTGGTATTAACTGGGGTCAATGTCAGGCTGGGAAAATAGAAGTCTGCAACCACTATACAGGTAAGTGGTACCGACTTGAATCCAGTTGGGACAGTGGAGAATACAGGATCAGAAGAGGCTTGAACTATTTCACTAAAAGTCAGCAATTTCTACATTCATTTAAAAAATTAAGGGGTGGGGGCAGGGGGGAGAAATGACCCAAGCTTGTATGCACATATGAGTAATAAAAAAATAAAAATTAAAAAAAATTAATAGTTTTTGGGCTGCGAGCATGGCACAGAAGTAGAGTGCTTGCCTAGTAAGAGTGAAGCTGTGAGTTCAAACCCAAGTACCATCAAAAAAATAAGTAAGAATAATAATAGTTTTGTTTTTAAAGAGCCATATTAGGTTTGGTAGCTACTGCCATAGAGTTATATGTGTTTGACACTGATGTAATGTCACCCAGTATTACAGTAGTACAGAATATCACTGCACCCAAATCCTCTGTAGCCCCTTTATTCTTCCTTCTGCTTGCACCTTCCATCTCCCCCAAACCCTGGCAACCACTGATCTTTTTATTGACTTTATAGTCCTCTTTTTTCCAGAATGTCAGACAAGTGGACTTATTCAGTATGTAGCTTATGTGTGTCTTCTCTGACTTGATAGCTTACTTCTCTTTAGCATGGAATAATACTGCATTGTGTGGATATACCATGGGTTGTTTATCCATTCACTTACTGAAGGACATCTGGTTTGCCATTTTGTTCTTGTATATAACCTATACAATAATCATCAAAATTGTAAGCATTTTTAAATTTCTTGCCTCTGAAGTAGGGAGAAGGGGTCTGATTTGACTAATAGATAAAGTACTGGAGGGGAGTTTTTAAAGAGAGAGTCTTCAGTCTACAGTTGTACCACCCTGAATGCACCCAGTCTTATCTGACCTCAGGACCCTTGGAGGGCCATTTTATTCTTGAGAGGGGAGCCATTAAAGACTACCAAGGAGCAGTGGAAAAGTGTCAGAATTTTCCCTCCATGTCTTACTCTATCATATAGCAACTATGCGTAGGAATTAATATGAACCAGTGGTTCAGTCTCTAATCCTTTCTACTTGGGAGGTTGAGATCAGGAAGATCATGGTTAGAGGCCAGGCTTGACAGTTCATGAGACCCGATCCCCAAAATAACAACAGCAAAATGTACTTGGGGTGTAGCTCAAGCAGTAGAGTTCACACCTTGCAAGTGTGAAGCCCTGAATTCATAATCCCAGTCCTACCTGCTCCACCCCCCAGAAAAGTCCCCAAAACAAAAACCCCTACATACACACTAAATAAAATAAATTTAAAAGACTGGTGTGGGCTGGGCTTGTAGCTCAGTGGTAGGCCACCTGCCTGGCCAAAAAAGAAAAAAATTAAAGAATTGACATGCCAGTGGCAGTTTAAAAAACTGGAGCTTAACTGCTCCCTTTTAGAAGACTCTAATTTTCCTTTTCCTTTTTCCATAAATTGGGGTTGATGCTTTTCTCCAAAGCTGATATGAGGATTACATGAGACAGTGTGAAAAGTGCTTAGCATTTATCCCAGTTAATTCTTAAAATCACCTGTCCTCATTAATCTTAACTCATTTAGTTATTTTCTCATTTCCTTCTCATAACTCCTGGAAATCTGGGGCTTGGTGGAATAAGACCCAGGAATGAGTTGGGCATGGTGGTACACTACTGTAATCCCAGCACTTGAAAGGCAGAGGCAGGAGGAGTGCAAGGCTAAAAAAAAGCAACCAGAAAAGAGAAAAGAAAAAGACCACCCAGGGATGATTTATCAGGCTGGCAACAGCCCAGTAGTGGATACACTCTTCTTTTTTGAGACAGGGTCTCACTATATAGTCCAGCATGGCCTCCTGAGTGCTGGTATCACAGGTGTGCCATCACATCTGTCTTAAGCTCATCCAGGCAATTTGTTAAGAGGTCTTCATACAGTGTGTCACTTAGTTCCCATGATACTATTAATATTCCCATTTTATTTATTTTTTTGGTGGTAGTTGGAGTTGAACTCATGGCCTTGTTTGTACTTTCGAAGCAAGACATTCTACCTCTAGCACTCCCCATTTTATTGATAAGGGCACTGAGATTCAGTCAGGGCACTTTGCTCAAGGTCACCCAGCTATGCAAGGAAGCAAGGTCTGTATTCAAACTCTGGCTTATTTAGTTCCAGAGCCTGAGCACTCACCCACAGCCTCCTAAGCACTTTATAAAACTTCTGCTAGAGGACTTGTGGTGTAGTGCTGAAATCAGGTTTGCCACGTGGGCCTTCCCACTAGACTAGGCCTCTGAGGGCCTGGACTTTGACTCAGTCACCTCAGTTCCCCTGGGACCTTGTACCATGCCTGACTCTAATTTGCTCTTTCTACAAGTATTTATGGAGTGTTTGCTGTGCATCAGGTGCTAAATTAGTGTCAGGGAAATAAAACAGCTATGCCAATAAAATCTCCTTCATACCAATATATGACATAATTTTTAATATCAAAAAGCATTGTTAGAGTTATAGTCATGCAAGGTAGAAGGAAAGTGGTTGCAAAATATGGGCTTAATTTCATGCAAATTTACAGAGAAAAATACAATTAAAACATTTCTCCTTGAGCGAATGCACCCTGTCACAGCCTTGCACCAAGTGTATCTTGTGAGCAATACTTAAGCTCATCGGGGAGAAGTTTACAATTCTAAGGTCAGAAGGCCTTTATTTGCATGGAGATAGAGGCTTGGGCTGGTGAGAGGCCCAAGTAGTTACAGCGCCTCTTAGCAAGCTGAGAGACCCTGAGTTCAAACCCCAGTACTGCCAAATAAAAAAAAAGGTGGGGAGGGGCTTACCTAGTTGTCAAGGATGTGCCCTAAAGAGGGGAGGTCATGTCCCACAGTCTCGGGGTGGCAGGTGACAGCCAGGGCCTCCTCCCACCCCCTCTGGAGCTCACACTGCGACCTCCGCCCCGGGTCTGCGAGGAGGAGGGCCGCTTCCGGTCTGGAAATCTGAGCCGAAATCGCGGCGTTTTACTAAATGTTAGTGCAACCTTTGACCCACCCAGAACGTCGCTTTGGTGTCAGGATAGGCATGAAAAGGGCAGTTTGGGAACCGGGCTTCACTAACCAGCAGGCTGCACCAAAAACCCCAACAGTTCACCCGGCGAAAGCCAACCCGGGCCCCGGATGAGGGCGTGGCCTCGGCTGGCGTGGGCGTGGCCGCGGCCGACGGGGCGGGGCTGTGGTGGGGCGGGGCTGTGGTGGGGCGGGGCTACGGAAGCCGAGCATGCGCGCGTCGTTCGGCCGCAGAAGTTTGCGTCCGCCGGCTGCGAGAAGAGACGTCCTACGTTGTAGGGCCGCCGCGTCGCCTCCGCGACTACACAGTGCTTACTGCTGCCGTTCCCTTAGTTCCGGGGCTTCGAAGCATCTCCTGAGTCTTCCCGCCGCTTACGTTGGGTGGGCAGTGCGAGGGACGCCCCGCGGCGCGCCTACCCGGCGGGCAGAGCCCTTGCAGGTGTCGCCGGGGGTGGGGGAACTCCGGGCACCACTCCCACGGCTGCTCCGGCGGACGCGAGGACCGGGCCGCCGCCCGTGGCCCCAGAGGACGGCGTCATGCGGAGCCTGCCGTACTTCTGCCGGGGCCAGGTGGTGCGGGGCTTCGGCCGCGGCTCCAAGCAGCTCGGCATCCCCACAGGTGAGCGCGGGTGGCGCGGGCCGGGATGGGGATGTTCCCGGTCCTGTCTGCAGGAAACGTCACGGGGGCTGGAAAGTTCTTTTCTTAAAATGTGTGAGTAGATAGGGAGCCGGGTGTGGTGGGGCCAGCCTGTAATCCCAGCTACTTGGGAAGCACAGGCTGGAGGATCGCGAGTTGGAGGCCAGCTCTTAAAAACTTAAAAAAGGACCGGGGTGTGGCTTAAGTGCTGGAGCAGCTGCCTGGCCTGCGCCTTGGGTTCAGTCCCCAGTACCCCAAAACAACCCCTCAAAATGTGCCATTATATCGTGTCCAAGTAATAACGCAGGTAGCTGGATGAGAGCCAACTTTCATGTTTGGTTTGTCAGCATTAGTTTTAGATAGGAAGACTTGACTGCTTAATTCATCCTTAACACATCAGGTCACATATGCAACAACATAGGGACATATCTGCAGTGACACTTTCAGATAGTGCCCTTAGGTTTTCTCCTCACTTGACTTTATCATTCTTTATTAGTAAGAAGCAGCATTGTCAGATAATCCCTAATTTTCCACTAAAAAAAAACCAAAAAAATAAAATGTGTTAAAGCTTTTTGGAAAGTTTTAGGTTAAGGCTGGCAGAGTGGCTCAAATGATAGAGCACCTGCTTAGCAAACGAGGCCCTGTTTTTAAGACTGACTACCATTAAAAAAAAAAAAAGTTTTCGGTTAAACTTGCTATTGTGAGATTAATTTATTAACCTTAAGGTGTGGCTTGCCTCCCCTCTCTCTGGAATGTGGCAATAACCTTTTTACTTTTAACCCTCTGATCCTTACTCAGTTCAGTGACTTAAGGTTTGTGAACTGAACACTGGGACTTAGGGGTAATAGGCTGACAGCTTTGTTGTGTGCATTGTATATAGAAAGGATATGGCTACCTTTGGTTAAATCTGCACTTTCTGAATATCGTAAAGGGAAATGGAGCATAAATCAATGTTTGTATAATCTGTTTGGAAAATGAATTTTTTTAGGGGGGGTACTGGGGTTTGAACCCAGGGCCTCATGCTTGCTAGGAGATCTACCGTTTGAGCCACTCTGCCAGCGGAAACATGAGTTTTATTTCCTTAATATTAGGGCTTTGCCCCTTCTTTGAAGTCTCTTAGGATTCTATGTAGAAGCTCTTTTTCATTAAACACCAATAGTTAAGTCCGTTCTCTGGAACTAGCTACAAATTTAGTATGATACTCTACTCAGTAACTTAAATAAACTGAAATATTTCTGAAAAACAATAATGCCAAGGCTGCCCCTTGACCTATTAAATCAGTTTTTAGGTTTGGGGTTTAAGTTTGTGTATTTTGAAAAAAATTTTTTCAAGTGTTTCAGAACCTGTTTAGAAATGAGCAGTTCTAAAAATACCCATCATTTTGTTTTGTTTTGTTTTTCATTGTTTTTAAAAGTATTAGCAGATGTGTTCTTGTTGGGTTGACTATGCAGCTCCAAACTCCTGGACTCAAGCAGTCCACCTGACTCAGCCTGAGTGGCTGGCACTACAGGCGTGAGTGATCTCCAGCAGGCCTCATACCATCTGTTTTATACCTGTTTTTCTCTTCTTCTCAGATAGTGGTTTTTTTTTTTTTTTTTTTGAGAAGTTGTACTTGTACTGTATTCCTAACCTATCCACATCAAGAGGAGAAAGAAGTGCAAGCCAGAATGGGAGGATGAGACTGATGATCATGTCAAGGTCCTAGAAATCTTTTGAGTATGATCATTTAGACTAGTCTTGCATGTGATTTTTGCCTGTATTTAATATGAAACTTGTAACACTCTGAATATTCCTGTTGTTTAGCTAATTTTCCTGAACAAGTAGTAGACAGTCTTCCAGCGGATGTTTCCACTGGCATTTATTATGGTTGGGCCAGTGTCGGAAGTGGAGACGTCCATAAGATGGTGGTAAGCATAGGATGGAACCCATACTACAAGAATATGAAAAAGTCCATGGTAAGAATTGCATTTTGCTCTGTAACTGAAATGGGTTGATGATTTGGAGTAATGTGCAGTATTAAATGCATATAGAGCTCATCAGTGCTAAGCACAACATAGTTCAAATACTAGAATTTAAGCAGCATACTTGAACTATGTAAAAGTGAAGAGTTGGGGGGCCTGGTGTTGGATACCTGTAATCCCAGGGCTCAGGAGGCAGAAGCAGGAGGATAGTGAGTTCCAAACCAGCCCTGGGTAGTATAGCAATACCCTGACTCAAAAAAAAAAAAAAAAAGAGAGGGAGAGAGAGAGATGACACATTCAGTTACCATTTGAATGGAATGTGTTTGCATACTTGTTACTTTCAACCTGTTTGTGCCTTTGAATCTAAAGTCTCTTGTGTACAGCATATAGTTGGATCATTTTTTAACCCATTCTGCCAGTATCTATCTGCCTTTTGATAGGAGAGTTTAATCCATTTAAAGTAATTGTAGAGTAAATCTTTAGATTGTGTATCCAGCAACATAGATAGTTGTATTTATTTATTTTAGTGGTACTGGATATGTATTTACTTTTTTAAATCACATAAATAGTAAAAAGTAATTATAGTTATAATACCTATATAATTGCTCACGTATTTATGTTTACTGGGATGTAACTCATTCATTTTAACTACTTGATTGCCCTGTTAAATACAGAACCGCTTACTACAGAGATGCTGCAGCTTGATGCTTTCTCCCTGTCACTCTTCTCCTCCCTCTCTTCCTCTCTTGTCTTTCTAGTGCTGAAGATCAAATCCAGGGCCATGTGCATGCTAGGAAAGCTCTGTACCACACAGCTGCATCACCAACCCCTCTTTATTTTTAAAATTACTTTGAGGGTACGCTTTTCTGCCCCATTTTCTTCACAGGAACCCCACAGATTAAATATTTTATATTTTGGATTTGGCTTAATGCTTTGTCAGCCTAAGTGTGTGGAAAAACAGATTTACAGTGACCTAAAATTTAACTTCTTTGAGAAGTTAACAAAAGTGAAGTGTGTCCTTCTCTTGGAAAACCTAGAGCTAAGTGCTTGTGTAAGCAATAGTAATGACCCAGAACTACTTTATATTTTGCTCAGTGTTTCGCTTCTGAGTTAAAGTGGTGAAAATTGTTGGAGGAGATAAGAAAAGAATTCATGAAAGAACACAGAATTCTTTTCTGTAGAATGAGGAAGGAAAAGGAAAGGAAGGGAGGCTCTCCCATGAGTTAATTTTTCTTTTTGAGCTACTCAGATAACAGACATCTGTGCATTGCCTGACCACGTCTTTTGCCCATATTAAAAAATTATGTTGTCTTATTTTCTTTTCAGTACTGGAGTTTGAACTCATGTCTTATTATCTTAGTATATTCTAAATCCAATTCCTTTGTTAGAACTAGGTATTATACATTTCTTCTTTGTTGCTTTTTATTTTTACTTTTTTAACTGACTGGTGGCTTTTCTTCAGTGTTGGGGATTGAACCCAGGGCCCTGATCACACTAGGCAAGTAGGTGCTCTACAACTGAGCTATATCCCCAGACCCCCAAATCTTTTCTTTTTTTTTTTTGGTGGGGGGGGTGGTGGGACTGGGGTTTGGTTCAGGGCTTCTCACTTGCAAAACAGGTACTCACTGGAGTCACACCTCCTGTCCATTTTGCTCTGGTTATTTTGGAAATGGGGTCTTGTGAACTGTTTTTCTAGACTGGCTTTGAACTGCAATCTTCCTGATCTCTGCCTCCTGAATAGCTAGGATTACAGGCATGAGCCATCAGTACCCGGCCACCAAATTCTTAATATAATTCGATTCATTTTTCTTTAATGGTTGGTTAGTGCTTTTAAAAATCTGTTTAAGAAATCTTTGCCTATACCAAGGTCATGAAGATATCTAAAAATGTAATTGGCCCGGCTCATTCATTAAAAATACCTTTGTTTCCTGACAGCTCTGCCTAAATCAAGTGACTTTATATGTGTGAGAATTCAATAAATTCATCCACGTTGTATCTGCTTGTCTATCCTTGAGAATATCATGGGATATTAATTTCCAAAGCTTTGTTATAGGTCGTGGTGTCTGGTTATATAAGTTTTCCAGTTTTGTTTTCAAGATTTTCTTGGCTAATTTTGGCCTTTCTATATAAAACTTAGACTAGCTTGTCAGTTTCTGCCATTTAAAAACCACTAGGATTTTGATAAGGATGCATCGAATCTAGGTTGTTTTAGAGAGTAGATGAGTTTAGATACGATTTTTTAACTCATTACACCTTGTAAGTACCATGAATCTTTCAGCTAACAATTCCTTTTCCCCCATGTTTGAAGGAGATAGACAAAAGATAGTAAGAAAATCATTAAAGGAATTTTATTTCTGTTGCTCTTATCTTTAAGGGTATCTGTTGGAGTTTGGGTATAAAAGAAATTATATGTGCAAAGAGACTTCCCTCTACATAGAGAAAACAGGGAAGAACAGTACAACCATGCCTGCATCTCCATCATTCTCATTTTAATGACCTCACAAGATCATGACTAGCTACAGGCTTGTAATTCCAACACTAGGAGGTGGAAGCGGGAGCATCTTCAGTTTGAGGCTAGCCCAGGCTGTATAGTGAGACCCTATCTGAAAAAAAAGAAAAGGCTGGGATGTGTAACTTAGTAGTAAGCCCTGGACTCAATCACCAGCACTGAAGGGGGAGGAAAAAAACCCAAAAAATTACCCTCCCCCCAAGAAAAAGATTAAGAAAGACTGGGTTATTTTAAGAGAGAAAGTAAAACTTGCCTTAATCTAAAACTCTCAAGATGTTTCCTTTCCTTTTTTGGCCTGATTCATATTGTAGTACATGGTTTACTATGTTAGGTAAGAACGAATAAACATCTCGTGTTTGATTTATTTATTGTTTTTAGTGGAACTGTAGGTTGAACTGGGCCATGTGCTTGCTAGGCTCTCTACCACTTCAGCCAGTCCACCAGCTTTACCTGTGTTTCACTTATTTTTGAGATAGTGTCTCGCTTTGTGTCTTGGGTAGCCTGGACCACTATCCTATTTGTGCTTCCCTGTGTAAATGGGATAACAGGTGCTCACCACCATGCCCAGGCAATGGTTGAGATGGGGGGCGGTGTATCTCAAACTTTTTTCCTAGGTTGGCCTTGAACCATGGTCCCGGATCTGCCTCCAAGTAGCTAGGATTGTAGGCTCAAGCCACCTCACTTGGCTTCAGATTTGATATATTTTTTAATAGATCATTCATAATTTGTTCTTAATATCTACTGCTTTTCTACTGCTTTTTTACTCTTGATTTAGCTATAATGTTAGAAGTTTGTGATAGATACGTCAGTTTTAAGGATGATTTCTTGGTTAGGTTTTCTCAAGTGACGTACTTCAAAATACACCTCAAGGTAAATGGTTTCTAAATAGTTTTACTTAAAATTCCCAATCTGCAATACTATCACCGTAGTCTAGCCTCAGCTGTCTCATTTCTGTATTTGTCTCTTAATTGGTCTACCTCCCCACCAGCTCCCCTCTTTTTTTTTTTTTTTGTTTTGAGACAGTCTTACTCTGTAGCCCAGGCTGGCCTTAAACTTTGGATCTTCCTTCCTTCAACTCTTGAGTTCTGGGATTATAGGCATGTGCTACCACATCTAGCTCTTCCTGCCTTTTGATCTTAGATTTGTTCTTTAGGGGAATCTATTAAAACATAGATGATATATCTGGGGCTGATGGAGTGGCTGAAGCGATAGTGCACCTGCCTAGCAAGCATGGGCCCTGAGTTCAAACCCCAGTACCACCAAAATTAAAAAAAAAAAAAAAAGATATATATATCTATATCTATATATATATATAGATATAGATATATATATATATAGATATAGATATAGATATAGATATATATAGATGATGTATCTGAACTGGTATCTTCTACCCCCTGTACCATTTTAAGCAGTGAATCATGTGAATTATACCAGATTTGTGATATAAGATATCTGCTACCTCACTTAGTTAGGTTTAGGTGTAAGGTCGGGATGAGAGCAGGAATGGTGAAAGTATAAGTCCTTACAGTTTTTTCGGTAGGACTGTGGTTTGAACTGAGAGCTTCGTACTTCCAAAGCAGGCGCTCTACTGCTTGAACCACACCTCTAGTCCATTTTGCTATGGTGATTTTGGAGATGGGGGTCTCTAGAATATTTTCCCAGCCTGGCCTTGAACCTTGATCTTTCCCATCTCAGCCTCTGAAGTAGCTAAGATTATAGGTGTGAGCCACCGGCGTCCAGTTGTCCTTAAAATTTTAATGAGGATCAATTATTTCACTTAAATTAACCCACTATTAACATGAAAGATACATTTCAAATTTACTGTGATCTAAATGTAATCCTTTTTTTTTAACATTTGTCTTTAGGAAACTCATATCATGCATACCTTCAAAGAGGACTTCTATGGAGAAATTCTCAATGTAGCCATTGTTGGCTACCTCAGGCCTGAAAAGAACTTTGATTCTTTAGGTAAGTTTTTATGTTGGCCTTCTACTACTGTTATTACTACCAGTAGTAATACTGGTGGTGGGATATGTATTCGAGCATTTAATATGCTCCAGACACCTACTTTAAGCTTCCTATGTGAGTTAATTCTTTTATCTCCCACAACAACCATATGAAGAATTATTTTGCCCATTTCATAGGTGAGGAAATTGACGAAGAGAGGTTAGGCAATTTGCTCCAAATTGCTGTCTTAGTCTGTTTTCTGTTGCTATGGCTGAGTAGTAGACTGGGCAGTTTATAAAGAACAATGTTTACTTAGCTCACATTTCTGCAGACTGAGGCTCCAAGAGCTGGTGCCAGTGTGTGGGGAGGGCTGCCTTCCTGCATCAGTGGAAGGACACTCAGTAATCAGTGAGCATTTGTTTCAAATGTTGTCATGGATCTGTTAGTACAGTGAGGCAGTTTAGACTTTATTGTAATGTTTTTTTCAAAGAGAACAGATGTGGTGACTATTTTGTTTCTTCCGTGTAGTATTTTCAGTGTATATTTATGCCTGTGCTTTTCTGTAAGAAATTGCAAGATTAGGGACATATTTCAGGTACCATTGACTTTTACTTTTTGTTAAAAGGGACACCTGAACATTTATTGAGCACCTACCCTTTGCCAGAGATGGCTGGCCTGTGAACTTTCAGGAGAGACTGAGCAGAGGAATAGTAAGAAGTACACTAGTAGTTTCTCATTGTCCTTATCTGGTATATTCTCTCTGCAGAGTCCCTTATTTCAGCAATTCATGGTGATATTGAAGAAGCTAAAAAGCGACTAGATTTACCAGAACATTTGAAACTCAGAGATGACAATTTCTTCCAGGTTTCTAAGGGCAAAATTATGAATGGCCACTGATGAAAAATGACCTTACTGTGCATTCACTGTTTTGTAGTATTTCACTGTTCATAACTATGTTGTGTCATCTTGGTTGTATTTAAAAGTCAAACCTTTTCTTACAGCTGTGAATTAGTGTAAACAATACAATGTAGTTACCTTATTATGCTTCAGCTGTTAAACGTTAACCCATCATGCCATAGTACTAAAAAGATTCAATTAAAAATCAAGATTCTTTTTCATGTAATATGTTGATTAAAATGAACCACTAGAAAGATACTGTCTTACAGTGGAACTGGAATGTACGTAAGTGGGTAGAAAAGCAAGTCATTAATTTCAGATGAGAATTCTAATTGTCACTGTAAAAGGCCAGCATGTATAGCTCATGCTGTTAAACAGAGAGGGCCTTAAAAGTAAATGCATTAAACATAAGTGTGATCATTTATTTTGTACCTAAGGAGGAAAATATAGGCTGTATTTTTGATATTTTGTGCATTAATAGATTATTACACACCTGAAGACTTGTGAATTTTGTTTTACTCATTTCCCTTATGACATCAACTCATTGTACTGCCTCCATGCTCCTGTAAGAGCTGTCTCAATTCTAATTGGCCTAGATTCCCTTTGCCTATCTTTTTTTCATAAAAGGAAATTGAGCGTCTTTTGATTCTGTACATCTTGTTTTTTGTGTTGCATAGTATTTTTTTTTTTTTTTTTTTTTGGTACTGGGGACTGAACCCAGGGCCTCTGCCATTTGAACTATACCCCCAGCACTCACTCTTCTTCTGTAAGAGAAGGTGTTTTGTTCTTCAACATTTTACTTGACTTTGGTTCTTTTTTTCCTTTAAATGATTTTCAGTGTCAGTTTTTCTCATTTGGAATGCCTTACAGCTGCACACATAAGAGATTGGATTTGTCAGTACCGTTCCATTCCTTCACTACATGAACAGTGATTAAGCACTGACCTGCCTTGCAGTTTTAGGAAAAACAAAACAACAAACTTCATCTTTAGGCTTATTCTGGTTTAAAGGAACACTAGCTGTTCATTTGTATGTACCAGTTTCTTAAAGTACACAAAATGCTTGGTTTTCCCCCTGAGAAAATTACTTAATAGCCATGAAATAGTTTTTTTCTTTTTCCACAGAAAATTGTGCTTTTTGGTTTAACACATTAGTTGCCCAAGTCAGACATACCAAGATGCACACTAAATCTGTTTTTGTTCCCTATCATTCACTCATCTGAAAGATTATTTTAATGTGCTTACATACTCCAGAGCAAATCCAAGCTGCTGTGGCTGTGTCCACACAATGTAACAGTGGTCTGAAGAGCACTTGTAGCAGGAGGGAAACCTATAAAAAAAGTTCATTCGCCTTCATACTTGACATTATTCCTCCTAACTTCTGGCCACTTGAGTCCTTTTGTTTATGTTGACAGAAATGTGAAATTTTT